AGTTACGATCAGAGGCGAAAATGCTTCCAAACTTGTTCTTCTTGTTTTCGAGGTTTACAACCTCACAGTAAATCGACCTTATAGATTTTTATGATGAATTTTTTTTTTTTTTTTGAATTTTGAGAAGGGGCCAAAAACTGCTGAGAGGATATAAAGTGGTTTTTTTTTTTTTTTTAGTCCTCTGAAAATACGATTTATGACGCGCTAAAGCTATGTCAGCGAGTTTTATGCCTCACAATTTTTTCATGAAAAATCAATGTTATTCTTTTGCATCGAAATATTGCCAGGCAACGCTGAATCAATTGTCAGCCAAATGTATGTATAAAATGAATTACCATTTTTTTTTTTTTTTTTTTTTCATCTTCCCTCCCCTCCTCTCCCTTGCCCACTCCCCTCCTCTCCCTTTTTTTTTTTTTTTTTCTCTCCTGCCCCCTCCCCTCCTCTCCCTTGCCCCCTCCACTCCTTTTTTTTTTTTTTTTTTCTTCTATTACTGTAACACATATCCAATCATCTCAGAAGATCTTTTTTTTTTTTTTTTTTTTTTATTAACGGCCAGAAAAGTTCTCGGCGTTTTAGACCAAGAATTTTCTGATAAGTATCTAAGAGTTATGATTAAAATGAGAATGATTGATAAGATTGAATTCCCTTTTTTTTTTTTTTTTTAACTAGTAAATACACATATCTTTGATCAAAACCAAACGAGTTTTTTTTTTTTTTTTTTTTTTGATTATCTATTTTTTATCTTATTTTCTCGGGCGGTAGACTTAAGTTTTTTTTTTTTTTTTATGAGACATTGTAAAATGTATGCAGAGGTAAAACGATGGAGGTCTGGAGAGAAAATGTCCGTGCGCTTGTTTTTCTGGTCACGTGAGATTTCAGTGTTAAATAAAATTTTTTTTTTTTTTTTAAATGTATCAATGTTACGTCATAAAACAAATAGTGTACGCTGTGGTTTTTTTTTTTTTTTTAATATGTTTTTTTTAAAATACAAAACAAAAATATCAGACTAGATCTTTTTTTTTTTTTTTTCCGCAAAAATGGGTGCACTATTTGCACATTCTGTCAAAATTGTTTTTTTTTTTTTTTTTTTCCGTATAATTATCTCTTGCCAGTGATTCATGCATAGTACGCCTTCTTTTTTTTTTTTTTTTTTAATTTTTTATGTGCTGATCTGATATTTCCTTGACTCATTAGGTTTTTTTTTTTTTTTTTCTAACAACAGATTGGATAGCCTTAAACGATCTGGCACGTGCAAGTTTTTTTTTTTTTTTTTGTGTCCGTTGAAAGGAGGCGTCCCCTGTTCCTCAGACACGGACTGCTCCGGAAAAGGCATCTGTTGCTACCATTCGTGTGGGACAGCTTACTGTTCGGAAGTAGATTCGGAAAATGGTAAGGAAAGCAAATCAAGCTGTTGCTAAAAAGAAGTTTTACTCTCGGATAGGTTTGACTCGGTGAAAAAACCTTTCGAAAGGGGCTCTAATCACTAATGGATAACTAAAGCTTTTTTTTTTTTTTTTTCTTGTATTTGATATCCTATTAAACGAAGTCGCAGTATGCTAACATTTTTTTTTTTTTTTTCGACAAGCAAATTTATTTCTTTGGATCATAAGAGCACCAAGTTATATATAAGAGCATGCACCACTTGAATATTTCTTGAGGAACAAGGGAATTTAGGAAAAGGTGAACTTAATGAAAACTTGTTTTGTCTCCAGATCCTTGTGCAGCAAAAACATGTGGCCATGGTGTTTTTTTTTTTTTTTTTGGTTCTAGTTCCAGATGCTTATGTCCTCCGCGCTGCATAGGAAATTTTTTTTTTTTTTTTGTTTGTGGAACTGATGGCATCTCTTACAAAAATCTTTGTGAATTGTTTTTTTTTTTTTTTTTTATCGGAGACACCACACTGAAGATGAAGCACCTACATCGATGTGGTTTCGAACCTACGGGCGAACCAACAACCACCACTCCGCCCATTACACAATCTCCAACAGGTAGATTGAACAATTCATGCGTGCAGATATCGATATATGGATTCCGGTATACATGGATGCCATGAGAGTAGTGCAAAAAATGCTGGAGGCAAGGCCGCGAGCAACTCAAGCTTTCGAGGGCTCTTTTTTTTTTTTTTTTGCATCCATATCTCGATATGCGCATAGCAAAAAGAATGAACCATTTTTTTTTTTTTTTTTTTTGGACAATACTTATCTACGAAAGAGGTCTTATATGACAGAAGAAATTTTTTTTTTTTTTTTTAATTTACATTTTAAACAATTAGACTATTTTGAAAGCATATTAATTTTTTTTTTTTTTTTTAAGAGATCAATCGTCGTTCGACACGTCCCACGTCGTTCGGCCTTGTTTTTTTTTTTTTTTTATCGTGTGGTAGGTGAAGCGGATTGAAATTTATGGTAAAGAAATGTTTTTTTTTTTTTTTTATAACAAATACACCTTTGCTGTTAATTATGAGAAGATACGCATTCATTTGCGTTAAAAGGAGAACGATTGCGTGAAAATATATTCATTATAGACAAAAAACTATCATTTACGCTTAAATCAGATTCAATAACGACTATTTCATATCTGCTAACACTCAAGCCGTTTACATCATCTTGAAAGTCAATAGAGACTATACACAAACAATAGAGTGCATAAACCATTCATTAACATTTTTATTACACTGTTTGGACTTCAATAGCATTACTGGACGGCATCAGTATGAATTAGTTTTTTTTTTTTTTTTTTGTAAAAAACAATTCAGTGTTCTTTATATTCAATATGCAAATAGTTTTTTTTTTTTTTTTACCGATTTTCCCTGAATGTGCTGAACAAGTGCGTGGATTACGCCATTTTTTTTTTTTTTTTTGCCGTAGTGAGCCACTGTGTGTTTGTCGAAGAATGCGGCTACAATTTTTTTTTTTTTTTTAGCCAAGGTAAAGCGTGGTAGGGACATCGGGCGTACTGTCAAGTGTTTTTTTTTTTTTTTTGAAGCTTGACCGTGACCTTGGCAATTTCGCCTATCAGTGGACATGTTTTTTTTTTTTTTTTTGTTGGCGCAATGAATGCTGCGCGTTTCGATAGCTTCCTGGCACAGGCGAGGACAAATCTAGATCCTGACAAGGAGGTGATTTTTGCGTGTAACGGAGCACCGGCCTTTTTTTTTTTTTTTTTTCCCGTCCCAAACTCATCGCTTAAATGCTTCCTCCATACAGTCCTTTTCTAAACATCGTGGAGCAGACAATAAGCTGTCTGAAAAGGCGATTAAGGCTGACATCTCGCGTTTGGAGATTTAAAGACGCGTGGATAACAGATGAGAATAGAGGATGAGAATAGAGGAAATCCCACTGGGGGAGTTTTGAACACAACAACTACTTGAAGCTCTGCACAGAAACATTGACACTGTAACCGCGGCTAAAAGAGTGGGATGGTACCACTTTATGCAGACCTATCCGCAAAAAATTTTTTTTTTTTTTTTACTATTGAAGGATAATCTGAAATTCCGAAAAGAATTTTGGAAATATTTTTTTTTTTTTTTTAACTCGATGTTTGAATATTGAAAATAAAAACGCTCGAGTGTTTGTTTTTTTTTTTTTTTTTTTGTCTTAGTCATACTAACGCTGTCCAGTAATGCCATTGAAGTGATTTTTTTTTTTTTTTTATGTAAATGAATGGTTTCTGCCCTAAATTTTTTAGGTATTGTCTCTTTTTTTTTTTTTTTTAGTGTAAATGACTTGAATGTTGACGCAAATGAAAGTATATTTTTGTTTTTTTTTTTTTTTTATGACGCATAAGAATGCCCGAAATTGTTATTGAATGCTGATTAAATTTTTTTTTTTTTTTTTAAATCTGATTTACGTGCAAGTGATGGTATTTTGTCTCTAATGACTTTTTTTTTTTTTTTTCGTTCGCCTTTCATCGCAAATGATTGCGTATTTTCTCGTAACGAATTTTTTTTTTTTTTTTTGGTAAGTAATTCAAAATATGTGTGCATCTCCAGAACCACCTTTGTTTTTTTTTTTTTTTTATGAAGCTTATCAAGAATTGACTGAGGGGGAACGTGGCAATCTAATTTTTTTTTTTTTTTTAACTGTCATCTCCTACACGTGGCTGCTTCCAAACCGCGGACCGCTACCATTGAGAATGCGCCCTTTTGGAAACATTTTGTCGTTCAGAAACGTACTTAAAGGGGATGGTGGCGTTTACACTTGCGAGGCAACAGGTGGACCAGATGGAAACCAGGTTGTCAGGGCGCTTGTAAATGTTACAATCGAACGTAAGTAAAGTAAAACATAGCTTCTCCAGCTGTTTCTTTCTTGTTTTTCTTCCTCTCTGGCTCTATCATTGATCTATCTGAGTGTGCCCCCCAGTAGAAGACATTTACCACCGCCGATAACCCGAACGTATCTTCAGATTTTCCTAAAAGTATGCCGGTACCTTTTTTTTTTTTTTTTGAGGTGTGGGTGTGTGTGTGTTGGGGGGGTGTGGGAGGGAGGGGCTTTTTTTTTTTTTTTTGTCATCCGCTGAGTATGTCTGTCAATAAATTGTGATTTTTGTCTGTAGATCTATTGTCTGTGTAAGGACAGCTTTTCATTCTCTTTACAGCAGCTATTCCAGCAGAAGTTGAGTTTTGTGACGAGCCTCCCGCTGTTGGAAATTGTTCAAGATTGATAATTCGGTGGTTTTTTTTTTTTTTTTTGAAAGAATGTCTTCCATTCATATACTCCGGATGCGAAGGAAATTTTTTTTTTTTTTTTTTCAAGGAAACATGCGAAGCTATGTGCAAGAGGAAAGGTAGGTTTCATTTTTTTTTTTTTTTTAGGTTTTAGGTGAAACGTAATTTGATTAATTCAATTTATTTTTTGTTTTTTTTTTTTTTTTCAGAATTTGCCCCGCACCCCGGACACGGTCCGTAGCACAATACCTTTTTTTTTTTTTTTTTTGTTCTATAATCAAAGACTGTCCTCCGGGAACAAGGTGCTGCTCGTTTTTTTTTTTTTTTTGACGCTGCAAAAAAGAGTGCGTCAAACCCGTTTTTCCAGGTACAAACGTTTATCACTTAAACTCTTGGCACCATAATCGGCACGTTTCGGATATAAAATTTGTATTTTTTTTTTTTTTTTTTTCAGGAGATTAATTTTGGTTGTAGCCGCATTTGAAGGAGTCTGTGTTTTTTTTTTTTTTTTTTAATTTTGGTTGTAGCCGCATTTGAGGGAGTCTGTGAAGTAGGGTTTTTTTTTTTTTTTTTCGACATTTCAATTCAAAGCCAGTCAGAAGCAGATTTTCAGGAAGTTTTTTTTTTTTTTTTGATGGTGATCTTGCCTGAAAGTGTATGGATTTTTTTTATGTCAAATTTTTTTTTTTTTTTTGCGTGTGCATGACTCGTGATAATCATGTTGAAGGCCAGGAATTTTTGCATACATTCACACATACATACATACATAGCCACCCATCCCACCCAGGGGAGGACATCCACCACACAGTAATCTCGTGCGTGGGATCCGAGAAGACTAGAATATCTATCCATTTCTTGATTGTAGAAAGGTAGCAAATTCTCCTCACTTTTTTTAAGACCATGAGTATTGCATATTTCAGATAAGCCAGGCACATGCCCCACTCCACCTGATGACCGATCAGACTGTCTCTCTCCCACCGACGAGTGCTCAGTTGATCGTGATTGTGACGACAACATGAAATGTTGTGATCGGCCATGTGGACGTGTTTGCGTTGAACCAGAGATAAAAGGTAAAACGCAACAAGACCGATGATGAAACAGTTTCTTAATAGAATCTCTCGTTTGTGCAGCCTTACTATCACCTATCTGTGCTCGTGTTTCTGTAGAAATTCAGTGGTACTTAATTTGGAGTAAATGTTTAAAAATGCGTTTCGTGGATCAAAGCTAGTTTGGTAGACGACTTAATATCCAATACCAATTGATGGACCGTAGTTTTTTATGTGAATTCCCTCCTACATTTGTCTATGGATTTTGGTGCATTCAGACATTTTGACCGGGATAAACCTTGGAGTGAGAGCCAGTAAATAGGTTTAAAGATAGACGTTACTTCTATGGTGAAATTTTCACAGATTATTTCTTACTCCCATGCAGAAAAGAAGTGCAAAGCTATTGTGGATCTGGCGTTTGTTGTCGACTCTTCTGGAAGTATTAGTCGACGTAACTGGAAGCTGCTACTTGCTTTCCTCAAGGATGCAATTTCATCGTTGGACGTGTCCCCGAAGGGGTCTCACGTTGCCTCTGTATCCTACTCATCATATCCAAAGGTTGATTTCAGATTCAACACTCTGCCAAATGACAAACTAAATGCAGAAGAATTGCACAAGCTTGTTAACACAATAAGACATCAAAGAGGATTCACTTATATCGATAGGGCAATGAAACTTGCCAACGAGGAAATATTTAGCGACAAAGGGGGAATGAGACAGGCGGTTAGAAAGGTATTGATACAATCAATGGTAATTTGACTGTAAGAAAAGTGGGAATTCAACCTCGTGGAATGCGCGATGATTTCTCTTGGCAATTTTTGGCTAGCAAATGAGCATGTCGAGGGGTGCAGTGATCGTTGAAGGCTTTTTGTCTTCGAAGTCCTAATTCTTTCCCTGTTTTCACACCAATGGGTTGTTATACCCTTCGGCTATATAGAGGAATGTCTTACACTGAAGAAGTGGCGTAAACGAAAATCAACAATTTAAAATATGAGCAAGCCACGAAGTCCCAGTTCTGTGATTAAAGCTTACAAGTGTTATAGAAAGAAACTTAGGGTAGCTTAGTAAGAATTGTCCCAAGTCCTAGTCTTTTAAAGTACAAAAGTGAGTTCGATATACCGAGATGTTCTTGGATTTTAAAAAGTGATTGGCGTATTTGTCAAGGAAATATTGCCTGAGTCACGACTTTCTTTGATTGGTTATTTTCAAGTCAAGTCCATGGCTCAAGACCATGATTCAGTCTATTACATTCGCGCTAAGGAGAGGTAACCTCAAAGACTGGGAAGAAAAGGTTGTGTCGGTGCCAGCTCTACGTTTCACAGTAAAAAGGAATCATCGAGCGGCATCGGGGTTATATAACGAGAATAGCTGCATTCCAATTTCAATCAGACCTAGCATCAGTCGAACGTCTACAACTCCGTTTAGTTACCACTACTTAATTATTATAAATTATTAATTATCGTAAATCGTTCATAAATCTGTCTTTTTGATATTAGGTTTGCTTTGTGTTAACGGATGGTGCGCAAACCACAAATGGCAAAAAAGGTCCTTACGTTCCTCTTGATATCGCCTCTAAACCACTTAAAGATAAAGGAATAGAAGTGTGGTCCATTGGTGTTGGAAAGAATGCTCAGAGAGTTGAATTGGAAACAATAGCTTCCGATCCTGGAAAAGTACTTACAGTGAAGAGTTTCAAAGAGTTGAAGAGCATATTGACCGAGATAAAGAAGGCAGCATGTGAAGGTTTGTGTTCAAGTATTCTCCATAGCGCAATCATTTCAGGTAAAATATGTCTCTACTAATAGCTTCTTTTCTGGAAAAAACAAAACCTGTATTCACATGTTGAAGGAAACAAGCTTGCTTGTTGGAAAAAATGCACCATTCTTGCAAATGAATTTATTGATTACGGACCAGGCTATACCAATCTAGCACGACAATTCCCTTGCGTAATCATGATTATGATAAGTCGTATTCATTCTAGTTTAATTTTTATCAACAGATAAGAAGGAGACTAAGTGTCAGAGGGAATTCGTTGCCGCCACAAAAGATACCGCCCCTGGCAGATTTGTTCCAAGGTGCAAACTAGACGGCAGCTATGCGGATGTACAATGCCGTGGATCCGTCTGCTATTGTGTGGATAAAGATGGCAATGAAATAGTTGGGACAAGGACACCTCTTGCTTCGGGCAAACCAAACTGTACAGCACCATGTATGTATCGTTTGTCTCATAGTTTCACTACTTTGTTTCATCTTTGAGTTGTAAATTATCTTACAAACACTCCCCCACTACGATTTTTCTTTGGGAGAGAAGGCTATTTAAGAGTTTTTACACTTCTTAAAATTAACGCAAGTGCAGTACTGCCCTGACTTTACGTTTTGTTGCTGGAGAACCGGTTTTAGTTTAGCTTAGTTTAGTTTATTTGGCTTTGCCAACCGGCAGGGACACCGCAACAGCTTGCGCCAATTACTGCGGGCCCAGTAAACCCACCCATCCCACCCCTGGGGAGGACATCCATCACAAAGTAATCTCGTGCGTGGGAAATTAACGTCTCCTACCCCCAACCCTGCAGGAGACGGGACCTCCATTTATT